TGTACTTAATATAATTGAATGATGGGTCGCCATAAGAATTGTAAGAGCCCCCCAATAAAGTGATTAATGGGGGAAAAAAAGAAAGAAAGAAAATGCTCTCTTCCCGGTCTGGGCCATGAACACCCCCTGCGGACAGCACTGTCTCTCTGAACAGCGCTGCCTGCCGAGAGGTACCCTGAAAGCCAGGCGCTGAAGAAGTTGGCGCTTCCGTGGCCTGGAGCTCCCACCAGGCTGGAATTGAATGAACAGACTCTTCTCTCCTTGACCCCATCCCCTCCCTCAGAGGACTGCTGTTTGGGGGTCAACACGGGGATCCCAGGGTTCTCTATGCCGTCAGCGGGTTGCCCGGTCCTTCTCCTGCAGGGCAGCATGGTGGGTTTGAACCGCCAACCTTCAGGCCAGGTGCTGAGGCCACCACAGCTCCATCCCCAGGACTAGACGCCGGGAGACGGGAAAGGACGTTGGCGGCGAAGGCCCTGATGGTTACAGGGGGGTGTGCCATCGCTGTGTCACTCGGTGCAGCTGGCTGATAATTACAGTTCTCACTGACAAGGGTGACTGGTAGACAGTCAAGACAGTGTTCTACTACTGAGATGTTAGTGCAATAGCAAGGGGTCCCAGGGCAGCCTTTGGGTCCTTAGTAGGCAGTTAGTGGCAGAAAGAGTTGGTGGCCTGCTCCCATCGACATTACAGCCCAGAAAACCGTATGGCCTGACTCTACTGTGGCCCTCAGGGTTACCATGAGTTGGAATCCACTTGACAGTGACTCCTTTTATTAGGGGGTAGGGGGGGGGGGTTAGAGAAGGAGGTTATAAGTCATAACAGTTGATTTCAAAGCCCACTGCATTTAATCAGCGGGGAACTGACACTTAACATTGTTGCTCAAAACTCAAGTTTCCCAAAAGCTAGCTGCTGCTAAGGAGGCACGGATAGACCTACTCGGTGGCCTTTGGGGAAGTTCCCCCCTCTCCCCTGGGGCCACAACTGCCCCCCCCCCCCGATTTCTCACAGGCACTTTCCTGAGGGCTGTGACCCTGGGCTCATGCTCAGGATGAAATCACCGGGTCCCCAGGCAGCCATGAGGGAGCGGCTGGAGCAGATGTTTGGGCGCGTCCTCTTCTGGGAGGGCCTGGGGTGAGTCAGCCTCCATTCATCCCTAATGAAATGCTCTGCTTGCCTGGAAAGGGTGACCGGGAAGGTTCGAGTCCAGTCTCCCTCTCGCCTTCCCTCCCCTCGTGGGCTGTGTAGTAGCACATGGGGGTGCGCATGGCAGTACCAGAGGTGTGGTTCTGTCCATCGAGAGATAGAGACATACCGACCAGACCTGTGGCCGGGCACGTGCCGAATGGGGCATCCCGGACCAGGGATGTGCTCCGTCCGAGGCACGTGTGGCAAGCTTGGCTGGTTTGGGGGCAACTGGGGAGCCCTTAGGAAAAGCGAGAGTGTTGGAGAATCCAGGAGCCACAGAGGCCTCAGTTTGCTTAAAGGGTTTGGGCGAGCCAGGTGCTAGAGCAGGACGTGGCTACTGCTCTGCCACCATCCCCCGTGTGGCCTTGCAGGGCTGCGTGGGAAAGCGGAAGTGCAGAGCGTGGCTCGGTCACAAAACACCGCACCGGTCGGAGCAGCTGTCGACTTGGACTCCCCTCCCTGAGCTCCGGGCTGTGGTGCTCCCGGATGGTCAAGGCAGTCACTCGCCCCTGGGAAGTGGATTGATGGGCCTTCCTTTTAACGAAACTCTTTGTGGGTTTGAACTATTAACTTTGCGGTTAGTCTTTAAGCTCGGGTCAATACAAGGGAACGAACACTGATGTCCCACGCCGCCACTTTCGTGATCACCGCTGTGCGTGGGCCCATTGCTGCGGCTGTTGTGTCGGTCCACCTGACGGAGGGCCTTCCTCGTTGCCGATGCCACGTCACCAGGCAGGATGCCCTTCTCCAGAGAACATCTGGAGATGGTGTTTCCGGGAAGCATCCATCTCCGGATAACACATCCAAAGGACGTGAGACAAGGCCTGGCCAGGCTGACTCTGGCTGTATGCCCCTGGGGGCAGACACCTGAGACACTGCTTCTGCGGATGGTTGGCCTTGCACACTGCTGCTCACACGTGCTCTCCCAGGAGTCAAACAGGAACCCAAGTTCAGGGCCTCCGGCAGCTCTGGAGGCCCAGGATCTGAGGAAAGGAGTCGTCACAGGTATTGAGTTCCAGGCTGTGTGGCTCCAGCAGGCTTGGTCCCAGCACACCCACCACCCTCCCCAGGGCCAGCCTGGGGCGATGCGAGGTGGTCAGCTCCCTGGCTGGTCCTGGGCTCCATCCCTGGATCTGAAGCTTCTTGCCTCGACTGGATTTGCCTCCCTGGCCTTGGCCACCTTCCTGCTCTGCCAGAGGTCACCGCCCACCCACTGCCCGGGGGGATTTCCCTCTTGCTCACTGTCCGGTCACCCCAGATTCCAATCTCCAGACTCATCAGCTTGGACAAGAGCCTGCAGCCCCTTGGCAGCTGCCTGGGACCCAGCCCACGAGACAGATGCCTCTGCTGGCCTCCCTCACAGGAGCCCAGGGGAGGGCGTGCTCCAACCCCCCCTCTGTCCCCGGGGTCTCCGTGGGTGCCCACTGGCCCAGGATGACGTCTCACCTGGCTCAGGGCTACCTGGGTGTGACGTCTCGCTGGGCTTCCCCCACAATGCAGGGAGAATGTCCCCCCAAGTGGAAAAAGCACAGCTCGGGTGCGCGGCAGGCGAGCTGCTTCTTTATATACTCTGGCACGGTCTAGGCTTTTCCATCGGCAAACTGGGAATAATGGTGCTTTCCCGTCTGCTGGGATCCATGGCCCGTCTCCGGCAGAAGTGGGTGTGGCATGAAGGCAGCCAGAGGCCCATCGGTTCTCCCGCTGCCTCGAGCTGCCTGCGGATTCTACACTCACCAGGCTCACAGCTGTCCGAGTGAGCCATTTCCTTCGTCAATCTCTCTCTGTATTTACATGGAGTCAGCCCCACGCTGCGGGCCTCTCACCTGATACCTGCTCTGACACAAGGGCACAACTGCTGGCAAATTTGGGGGTTTTCCGACAGTGGAGTCTGTGGGGAGTCCAATGTCACACTCTTGCTCAGGACCCCGGTGGCTCTGGCTGACGTCCCGTGTTCCTGACGGGCATTTCAAGTAGGGCGGACAATCAGGCCAGGGCAGGGCAGGCAGTGTGTGGCCTCACAGGGTTTGGAGGCTGGAAGCCTTGCATTTGGATCCCAGCGCCTCCACTTGGCAACTGTGCGGTTGAGCACATGATGGGATGTGGGAGTCTCCGGTAGTTCCTCCCCTCGGGGAATGAAATGAGCTCATGGGAGGAACTCTGCTGAGGCCAGTGTTTGGTTTAATCAAGGACTAAATTCCCCTCCCCCACGACATCCCTAGGGATCTGGTTTTCTGTTTGATTGTTCCATGACATCTACTATCCCTTAGTAAGGACCAACGTGTGGTCTTGTTTTCCAAAGTTGTGTTCTTCTTGGAGAAAAGGTTTTCCAAAGCCAGGCTGGAACTGGCCACCCAGGCAGTGGAGTAAGTGCCTCAGAGGTTTGACCAGTCCACTGCTCTGGCCAGATCACGCCCAGAGCAAAGGCTTCCCTTTACTTCCTCCATTCTCACTGCCGTCCAGTTGATGACAGGAGGATGGGGTAGAACGGCCCCTGTGTTTCCAGGACTCTTACCTCCTTACAGGAGTAGAAAGTCTCATCTTTCTCCCCTGGAGCCTATGGTGGTTTTGAACTGCCAGACATGTGACCACTGGGCCACCTGGGCTAAGTTCATTTCATAAAACAGGAAAGACAACCAAGGGGGCACACTCATGCCTCCCTCCCTGTGCCAAATCTCACCCATTTGCTTATCTTTAATCGGTGCATCGGTGTTTGCCGGCTCTGAGGGGCACTAGCATCCCAGTGGGCGGTCCTTGCTCCTGCCTTCTCTTCTGCGTTTCCTCTTCCCGACTCCACTGTCCAGTCTTGGTCCCGGACCTGGCTCATCCCAGTGAAACGGAAGGCTACAGGGAGGACGGACTGGACCCGCTCTCTCTGTGAACCCAGTCCTCACGCTGCGCTTCGCAGCTCTGCGGAATCACGGCCAGGGACAGAGGCAATGCAATGTCCAGAGCCTGGAAGCGTCCAGGCTGTTGGGGGCAGGCCTTTCAAAATCCTGATTCAAACCTTGCGCCCTAGCCCAGTCACACGAGTTTCTGAGTGTGGTGTCTGGGCACAGTATTCCGTTTCTCCGGTGGGGTTCGAGCCAAGTCTGAGAACCAGCGGACTTAGCTGCTATTGTATCAGGGCTGTCCACAACCCACCCACAAGTCCCAGGGCCAAGGACCACGCGTGTCTCACTTTGCAATACCCCACATGGCATGAAAGGGCATGACCCACGCTTTGGGGGATGACGGGGTGACTCAGCTGTTACTGATTAACGCCTACACAGGGAATATGCTGGGAGCCCCAAGATCATACATCTGTCCTCCAGTCATGCAGGAAACACATTTTATTCCATTAAAAAAGGCATCTGCTCACTGCAGAATGGCAGGAGGCCCTATCTGGGGTTACTTTAAAAAGTGACGTCAGAGAACAAATAGTTTTTTTCGGTTAGCATCACAAAGCGAGTGGCCAGGTTCTCTTCTGCCTTTCTCCATTCAGTCTTAATCAGTGCCTTTGGCCAGTTCTGGTAAGAGCAGGCCACTGCTGACGTCACAAAAAACCAGGGTTGTCTCGACGCACTGTGACCTAGGCCCAATGCTGGCCCACTCCCTAGTATCAGGCTGGCAGCTGTGGGCACAAGGAAGGGCAGAGCAGGCGGCATTGGTGGTGGCAGGCAGCTTGCTCTGCTCATGATGGCCCTGGGGTTGCATGGACAGCGATGTCACCAGTCACCATGTGGGGACAGACCCCTGTTGGGCTGTGGTGGGGCTTTTGAGTCCAGGACCAGCAGCACAGGCCTGCTCTCCCCACCCCCCACCCCCCGCAGCAAATGTGACACCCGAGGGAGGGATTGGATAGGAAGTGTTGCTCACCATCCACTTGAGCAAGCTAGGCTTTGCCTGGAGGGCCTGTGCACCAGCACGGTCCCAGATGCCACGCCCAGCACCCAGAAGGAAGAGGCGTGGTGGGGTCAGGGTGGAGGGCCTGGGCGGGACTTGGGGGAGGATGGGCACTGCTGCCTTCGATTCAGAACACCTTCAGGAACCACTCCATGGTCGACTGCAGGCCCTGGTTATGTGAACAAGGCCCAGGAGGCTGCCCTGAGCCTGAAGGCGGGCCCGTTTCTGTCATGCTGAGAGCGGGCACTGCCCGCGGGCTTGCCAAGCCAGAGTTGGCTCCGCAGCTTGGCTTCACGTCCCCAGGGAGTGCCGAAGGCAGCACAAGTTGTGCAACCCAGAGCTTCCAGTCTGCACGAGGGGCAGAGCGCTCGGTCCTGCCCCGCAGCGTCTCTGGTGGATGCACGCAGGCGCAGCGGGCTTCTTCCACCCTGAAGGGTGGGGGCCGAATGGGCAGACCCCTCCTCTACTACCCATACTCCTCCTCTGCACATAACCGGTCTCCCCTGCCCGGGGGCAGGGTGTGGGGCTGCTTTCCCTGCAGCTCAGGCCAGAGGTGGTCCCTCGAGGCCCTGGGGGGTGGGAGTGGAGGCTGCAGCATCCCGGCAGTCACTCCTGCACCAGGAAGTTGATGAGGGCCGTCCTGGGGGAGAGGTAGGCCTTCTTAACGCTGCGTCCCTGCAGCAGCTGGGCTCCCAGCTCGCTCTGGAGAACAAGTTGGTGCACTTTGTCCAGGTCCCGGGCGACTTTCTGGGGCACGGGGATTTTGCCACAGGCTTTGTTGTTGATCTGAGAGGGAGAAAAGGCAAGATTCGACAATGAGGCCGAGGTAGAGTACAGGCAACCCAATACCCAGTACCCACTGCTGGGCCCAGGACACCATCCACACACACATGGGAGCTTCAACAAGTCGATGGAAGTTAAAGAGAAAGGCTTTTGGGGAAGCCTCCTCTTTCAGAGAAAGAGGAAGAAAAGTCAATGCCTAGCTTTGCAAGATGCACTGCAGGTTCCCTGTGCTTAGAACCTCCTAGACCCAGACCCAGGTGGGACAGGGATGCCAGCACACACACAAAAACCTCCGAGGAATGCCAAACCCAAGGGCACGGAAAGGGGAGAAGGCCCTTCCTCCATAGCCCTGCCCTAGAGCTGGTGCCCTGAGTCCAAGCTTCCAGACTGAGAGAGAAGACGTTCCTGTTCCTTTGAGCCTCCCACTCACCTGCAGCCTTTGTGTTGCAGTTAACGAGGATGGCCACCAAGCCCTGCTTCTGATACACTGGATCCTGGAGGGGATGTGCAGATGGGACGTGGACAGTGGAACCTCGCTGTGGTGTGGCCACGGCTCCTCCTACTGGAAACGGGCCAGCCTGGCTCCAGACCCTGGGAGTCTTCGCTCAATATTAATTCAGTTCTTTTCTTCTTTTTAAATTAATGTTAGCTCAGTTCAGTGAGGACCCACATTCACAGACATACCACCAGGTGGCCTAGAGCGCTCCTGAATGGACACACCCTCAGAGGGACGTAAGCGCACGTGCCTTTCGGGAGCGCCACAGTGTCCGCTGGCAACACGAAGAAAGGAAATCCACCAACCTGGAGCCACTGAGGCCATTCTGCCTGATGGTGTGGCAGTTACATAATCTGGTGTCAATTTGAGACTTACAAGTAAAGAGGTGGAGTTTAGACTGTCAATAGGGTCGCAGCTTGATGACCGCATTTGGAGGTGCTAAGGAGATAAATATCTCGGTGCAGGTGGGACACAGGCTTCCTCCATGGGAAACATAGCAGCTGAGAAGACACATGGAGCTATGCTACTGCCATGAGCTAAAGGAGCCACGTGGAGACCCCTGCCAGCACTGAGATGCTTACACCACCACTGGATACACACGACTCCCCACTCAATGACCTGTGATCGTCCTGCATTTGGTGTCACTGCAGATGTTCGTAAGTCTGAAGAGGGCATTATAGATTGTTATCAGACATATGGACTAATGTTGGACTTATGGACTTGATCTGGACTGGACTGGGATGTTTTCTTCATGTACAGTTGCTCTTGTATATAAAACTCTCTTAAACACACGAGTGTCTATGAATTTGGTTCCCTTGTGTATCCAGACTAGCACAGACAGCAACCCGACAGGACAGAGAAGGGCAGCCCCTCTGGGCTCCCAAGGTGTCACCTTTGTGGGTGTGACTGCCAGGTCTTTCTCCTGTGGGGGGCTGGGGAGGCACTGGCGGGCTTGCGGTACAACGCTTAACCACTGGGCCCCCAGGGCACTTGGAAAATATCATCACTGTATTTTGAAAAGGTACTAGATAATGTCTCAAGTCTCAACCAGAACATATTATCAGGAGTCCTCTGGTTCCCCCTATGTTTTCAGACTTGCGTGCATCTCTGGGATCTGGTTACGGTTCGCAATACAACTGAGGCTGCAGGTGAGAGATGTGGGTTGAACACAGGGCCCCTGCAATCCTGTTGTCCAAACAAGTGTGACAAAGAGCTAGATCTGTATGGCACATCCTAATGTGGATGATACCACCCCTGGGGGGGGGGCCGCCGGAGTGATCCAAGGGGGCTACAAATGCAGATACCAACACTGAGTAAATTTTTTTTTTCTTTCTGAAAAAGAGGTGGTAGGCCAAGTGAGTTCTACATCTTACTTGGGTGAGCAGTGACCGTGGGCAGTCAGTCACTCAAGGTGAACGACTGGGTGTCTCCCCATCCGAGGAAAGGAGAGAGAAGAAAACCCAAGACTCAAGGAAAACACTGCGTCCAAAGGACTAACAGTCCGCGTGAACCTTGGCCTCTGCTAGCCCGAGACTGGAGAATGCGGTGGTGCCCAGCAGCCACTACTGGCCATTCTGATAGGGACCACAGGCCAGGTCCTGGACAGAGTAGGCGCGGAAATGCAAGATCAATATGCAAGATTATGAAAAAGACCACACTTATGGACGTGACCGAGGCGAGTGGCCCCCACGAGACTATGGCCCTTTGATGCCCATCAGACCTGGAACGGAACTACTCCCAGGGGCCATTATCCAGCCAACAGCAGACAGACTGATAAAGTGAAGGGCAACACCTACGAGGTGTGCACTCCTCAGAACGAGCCACCAGAACAAGGCACCGGTGAGACCAGCGGGGCAGCATCTGCCCCCAAGCAAAGCTCAGGAGGCAGGAAGAGGCAGGAAACAAGGAGAGGGAAGGAGGAGGAGGGAAGAGTGTAGAAGCATGGGGGGCGGGGGAGGAAGGGGAGCAACACGTCAGAAACAGAACGTGTGCAAATGGCCAAATGGGAAACGGACTTGCCCCATCCGCTTTCACACAAGTCACTGATAATGCCCCAACTGCCCCAATGGAAGCTTAAAAGCCTCGCCCCATCTCCCAACCGCCAAGGGGACGAATAGCAGAAATGTGGGTGAAGGGAGACAACAGTCAGTGTAAGATGTAAGATACAAAGTAACAATATATAGTTGGTCAAGGATACATGAAGGAGGGGAAAAAAGAGGAGCTTATACCAAGGGCTCAAGTAGAAAATGTTTTGGAAATGACTTGCAGATAAGCTTGATACATTTGATGTATGGAATGTTACATGAGTTGTAAGACACTCCCCACCCAATAGACTTCTTTTTTAAAAGAAAGTTTAAAAGGAAAATGAGCGAGAGATGCTGCGGTGTGCCACTCTGAATTGTGCTCTAGCGTCCAGGAGCGAGGGGAGACGTGCTGCGGCCCCCCACTCCCCACCCCCGTCTGCCTTCCGGCTTCTAAATCTGCAGAGAGGCGGCCTCCTCCCAGGCAGAGGTTTGACTGACTTGGAAGAGCCCAGCACACAAAGGATGTGCCCCTTGTGGAGCCCTGGGGTGGGGGAGGGAGGAGGCCATACTTGGAATTCTCAGAAGGTGGCGGGCTAGTTAAGGAGCTTGCTTTGTGTTTTGCTTTCCTGTGGACAGTGAGTGGCTCAGGGTCAGGTCCCCCTGGGACGGGAGGTCAGTCTAGGGAGCAGAAACACATTCTGACCCGCAGACTGACTCAGCTTGGACGCTCAGCTGGGACAGCGCAGCCACAAGTCCTCTATCTCTCTCTAAGGACACAGTCCTCTGGGCTGCTGAGAGAAGTAGGTGAAATGGCCGGCATACAGTGGCCAGCTCACGAGGCCGTACCTGCTGACTTCTGTCAAGAATCCTGACCGGGGTAGAAGAAGGTGCTTGTGGGGTGTCTCTGATGCACGCCCTCTGTGCACCAGTATGTCTGTACCCCTGCTTCTAAACCTCGGGAGCTCCGTGCTGGGAGGCTTGGTCCCAGGTCTTCAGTGGCCAGGGCCTTCTGAGGAGCACAGTCATTGCAGAGGGACTTTGTGGTGGGGTCTGTGGACACTGGCTTGGGCCCCGTGTGCTGCAACCTTTCCCACGTACCCGGACTTTTCCTGCGGTCTCTGCCCCTGGGGGCTTCCCAAGTTGCTTCACAGAGGGTGTGCCTCGATCTCACTTCCCTCCCAGGGACCAGGCAGCAGTCTGGCTGGGACTCAACAGTGGGTTGGCTTTATAAGCCAGTCCACACGGAGGCGGTTCCTCTTGAGGAGTCCATGGTGCGGTTAATGGCCTGGCCGGGCTTCTGCTCCTCATTTTCCCCATACTCACTGATCACCCATGGCCTCGGTCACCCCCCACTCATCACCCATGGTCTCAGTCTCCCGCCCCACTCATCACCCATGGTCTCAGTCCTCCTCTCTACTCATCACTGATGGTCTCAATCCCCCCACTCATCACCCATAGCCTCGGTAACCCCTCACTCATCACCCATGGTCTTAGCTTCCTCCCCACTCATCATCCATGGTCTCAGTCCCCCCCTCCCCCACTCATCACCCATGGTCTCAGCCGCCCCCCACCACCACTCATCACCCATGGTCTCAGTCCACCCACTCATTGCCCCTGACCTTGGTCTGGCCTGAGCACCCTCCTCTCTTGGGCTTTTCCAACAGCCACCAGATGGCCCCTCAGCCATTAGTGCCGCCCCTCATCAGTCACCACCCCTCCAGACCATAAGGTGACACTGGCAATGGCAGCCGAGCACAAAGCTCCATTTGCTGCGTCCATGCTCTGTGCTGGACCCTTGCTAAGCACGGTACTTGTGGGGACCTGCTTCTTGCTCCCTGGGGGGTGGACAGAGGGCGTTTCCATCCCCATCAGACAGGCTGAGGGGTGAGGGGCACACGGTCAGTCATAGCACCAGTGGTAGAGTCAGGGTCACATGGCTGAGCTCCTCTGCTCAGACCCCTGCTGGGCCCTATCTTTTAGGGTTGGAGTGTCCCCCGCCCCGCCCCCTGCCTCCCAAGCGAGACAAGATCCTGCCAGCCTCCGGTGCTGTGCTGGTCTAGCCCCCCTCAGCTCACACGTCTCCTTGCCCTCGCCCCCCTCCTCGCCCTGTGCTCCTCTGCCAAAGCCCAAGCCCCCCCCCCCATATCATCACTCTATTTAGGTGGCCTCTCTGTCTCCCCGCTGCCAGGCTGGGGACGCTGGGCGATGGAGAGAATCCTGTGACCTTCCTGCCGCTTGTCTGTGCCATGGGCCCGCTCACACAGCTGCCTAGTCTGTGAACAGGTTGGTACCAGGCTGCCGGGTGGGCAGTGGAGGGCATGCGTACAATTCTTACAGCAGTGCCTGGTTCCAGGCAGTCAGGAACGTGCTGTCCTGGGGTCGATCCCCAGCCACAGTGACCCGCCCTGGAAGACAGAGCAGGTCCTCCCCACCGGGTTTCCAAGGCAGGGGTCTTTACAGAAGCAGGCTGCCTCATCCTTCTCGGGTGGAGCAGCAGACCGATGTTGATGGCTGGTCTTTCGGTTGGCAGCTGGGCACCGAGGGTTGGCAGGTCTGATGACCCGTGCATCCAGGAGTGGGCTGGGCACAGCATGCCATGAGCCTGTCTGACCGGCTCCAGCGCACTGGGCTCTGTCTTATGGCAG